CGCGCGGCGGACGGACCGGAGTGCTCTCTCCATGGAGGAAGTACTTCCTCCATGGCTCCCCCCCCCCCCTCCCGCCCCCCGGGAGCGCTTGCTCCCTGCTCCTTGCTCCCTGCTGCTCCAGGGAGCGACACTCAGCGCGCGGCTCTCGTCGGAATCCCCCCTCGAGAGCCGAGCCGCGTGTAGCAGAGCCTCCTGGCATGGCAGAGCCTGGCAGAGCCAATCTCGCTCATACTCGAAGGGCTTATCTCTCGGTCGGTACACCTCTTCTTGTCGCTGTCTGGGCCGAGGGCGGCCGAGGGCGCGTCAGCTGGCGGCTGGCGGCGGCCGCGAGCGGCGGGCATACCACGCCGTCCTACTGAGCAGTGACTGACAGTGGCTAGAGTAGCAAACGTCACCGCCGACAGTAACGTCCAGTAGGGGGATATTCGCTATAGTGAAGAGGGTATCCAGAGAGGTAAAAATCAGAACCGTTTTGTTAAAGCTTTAGATCTGCTCCGGAATGATTCCGAGACTTTTCATCCGAGGGAGCCTCGTGTGTCTGCCCTTCGCCCTTGGCACCACCGCCCCTCAACTCGACCCAGGGTTGGAAGCCCTGGAAAATTACCGGAAAATTTCAAGAAAAAATTCCGGAAAAAAGGAAAATTTTCGTGGGGTAAGGAACATTTCCCAGACTTTGGAAGTTTTCCGTTACTTTCCGGGAATTTTTCAGAAATTTTCCGGAAAATTTTGGAAATTTCCAACCCTAGCTCGCCCCGCCCAACCCTCTGCGGATGAGCTCCTCGACGGCGTGTCGGCCGCGCCGATGAAACACACAGGCTCCCCAAACAGGGCGGCGATCACAACACTATTTGACTTGAGAGGTCACGATCGACGGCTGCCAGGCGGTGCGGCACGGCCCACTACGGGATCGTCCCAGAAAGTACGTCTGTTTTTCTCAGATTCATTCGGCCAAATACGGGAGCTGGGCGCCTGCGAGGCACAGGGTAGGCCACCCCGCAGTACACGCCTGCACCGAAGGCTGGATGTGGCCTACTGATCAGGCGCTATGGGACCTTGCATAGGCTGACCTTGGCGTGTTCGTAACGGCGATTGACGGACGTACTTTCTGGATGATCCCTAGGCAGGCAGAAAAATACATTTTTTGTAAATTTGGTTTTGGCGTTCCAATACTACGTGAAATTTCGGGGCGTACACCGTACACATGTTATGGGGCCCTACGGGCTCCAATGGTGGGCCTGATCCTTTTGGAGCCCCATAATATTTGTATGCCAGGGTACAAATATCATGTGGTCCTATGGACTCTAATGAAGTTCCCGATCCTTTATAAAGGATATTGGGTCCCTATTTAGGGACCACATAATATTTGTACCCCTACCCCTAAAAGTGGCGTATACTATAGTATTGGAACGACCCCTTAGGCCAATTGAGTCCTCGTCTTCGGTGTGGTGGTGGTCATGGCAGGAGTGGAAGTATGCACTGAGAATTTTTTTTCCCTGCCGGGCGCACTAGACGGTTGTTTAGTGCGTCCTACTTTGTTCCTGGCACCACAAAAAATTTAGTTCCCGCCACTAACATAACTGTGCGTGGCGACAAAATTTTAGAGCTCGGCAACAAAACTTTGGTACCCATAGGCACGACTGTATAGTGCGTCAAAAATTTCGGTCTCAGGACCAAATTTTTCTTCTCAGTGTGCTTGTTTTATTTTTAGCAGCAGAGTACGCATATAATTAGGCGGCCGGGTGCCGCAGTTAAACGGTGCGAGTCCCCCCCCCCCCCCCCCCCCCCCCCCCCCCCCCCCCCCCCCCCCCCCCCGGGCGGGCGGGGGGCGGGGCCGGCCGCCCCGCCCCGCCCCCCGAGCCTCGGCCGGCGGCCCTGCCCGTCAGGACATCATAAACCGAGGGAAAGAGTTGCAAGAATCGTAAACAATGGCGGGGCGCTCGCTCGGGCAGCAAACGGCAGCAGGGCGCTGCTAGCCTGCTAGCCCTCTGCCGGCCACTGCCTGGCTGCTGCCGGCATTCCCCGAGTGCACTGCGGATAAACGACGGGCGGCTATCAGTATGGCACGGGGCGCGGCGTGCGAATAGCGGGTCACTATCAATGCAGGCAGATACAAAGTTTTCTATTCGAGGATTCGTGGCGTGCAATAACTCTGTGACTTGCACCTAAATCAAACGATGTCTATCGTCTTCGCACTCCAGACAAAAAGCAATGAGTTTGCGCAGCTTTTAATGCTTTTCATCACCTTTGTGAGTATACGCGATACACGTAGAAACTTATTTGGCCGTGCGCTTTCGTGGTCGAGTTTCAACACAAACTGCGCGCTGATGAGCGGCGGCAGCAGCAGCAGCAGCAGCAGCAGCAGCAGCAGCAGCAGCAGCAGCAGCAGCAGCAGCAGCAGCAGCAGCAGCAGCAAGCAGTGCGACTGAAAAAGAAAAGCGAGATGAAACAAAACGAGTGGAAGCCCCAACTTTTGTTCCCGTCAGGGCAGGGCAGGGCGGCCGCGGCTACGGTTATGCTTGAGAAAACAAGACGGGGGGGCTTAATAATACAGCCCGAGGAGGGGGGGGGTGAGGGGGGCGGCGGAGCTGTGCTGTAATTGAGAAATGTTTGGAGGAGCAGAAATCTTATCCGGAAAGCCACCGACCCGCCACCGCCGCGCCCCCTGCGGCGGGGGGCTGTGAGGCCGGGCGAGCAAGCCACCGAGTGCAACATACGGCGAGGCAGGTCCCCGTCGACGGGGACCGCGAGGTCCGCGTCGGCCACACTCGTCACACTCTCGTTTCACCCACGCAAACCGGAGGCCGTCGTTGGACCAGAGGAGGACCGAACTTTGTTGAGCTACACAAAAGAGACAGATTCAACTTTATTTTTAAAAAAATAGAAATAATAACAGAGCGACTAACACCGACCTATCTACACACACACCAGCCTATCTCTGTCTCCGTGTGTGTGTGTGTGTGTCAGCCTCGCACTTTGCATGGTAGC